CCTCAAAGATCATCCAGTTCCAACCCCCCTGCCATGGGCAGGGACACCCTCCACTACAGCAGGTTGCCCAAAGCCTCATCCAACCTGGCCTTATGTTATTTAGAGACGGATTCTGTGCTGCACAAACACGGAATAAAATGGTTTTGCTCCTCCAAGAACAGCACTATTCTCCTCCGCTCTGAAAAGCGGGAACGATGGGGGGGCTGGCGGATGGACGGGCCACCCCAGCAGCACCTTTCCAATGCCTGTGGGTTTGCTGGCAGTGGTGGTCTACATGGGATATGGATATGACCTGGAAAATCACCCTGTCCTTCCATATCTATCCCTTCATGGGAGGAACCACCAGTCGTGATCTTCCAAAAATCCTGCTCTGCTCCCGTCCAGACATGTAAGGTAACAACAGATGGGTAGAGCAGAGATACAACCTAGTGGCTTCAGCTCAGGCTTTTTGATGAAGGGACCTTGAAGTCTCATGACAGCTAAAAAACCCCACACCCTCTCTGGGAAAACAAGTATCGTGCTCACTGGGTTTTCTGTTCTTCTAGTTGCCTATTTCAGATGTTACTATTTTGTCCTATAGGTTAATTTATATTACCCATGATAAATGAATGCAGTCGAGAGGTATTGAACGCTGATGTGTTTATCTTATGGCAAGATAGAAATGTTGCAAACTTGTGAGCTCCGGGAGGAAATGGGCTAATTTTAGATTTGTTCCTAGCCCTCGCCATGCGAATGGTGTCGCTGCGAGCCCAGCAATGAAGTTCACTGTGTTGTAGCAGACTGCGCAGTTCCCGAGTGTGTCAACCCGGTCTATGAACCAGAACAGTGTTGTCCTGTCTGCAAAAATGGTAAGAAAGTACTGTATTGGCTTTAACAAAGAGATGTAAAGGAAACATTTTATTGAAATGTTGTTACCCATGCATCGCCAGGAGGTTTGCTTCCATCGGCACAGGCCGGAGCTGGGACTGTTACTTCTCCTTGTGTGTGGGCTTCAGTTACAAGGTGGCAACTGGGAAAATTAAGGCTGCCCTTCATGGCCTGTGTCTTCTCGTTGAAGCTGATGGGGTTGCTGACTTGAGTAAGGTTTTATAGGATTGAGCCCTGATATCGGTGCCAGTTGTTTGGTATCTTTGCTTTTTTTCTCGTAATTAGTCTAACATGAGATCAAGTATATAAGAAAAGAGAGAGTCTTTGTCCCTAAATTAAGAAGCCAGTGATTATTACTTAAGACCAGGGGAATACTCACCAAAATCAATGGTAAAACTCCCACTGGGGCCAGTAAGACACCCACCAAGCCTGTAACGTTGTAGGTTGTGTGCTGGAGTCTG